AGTATCCCACTCGGCCCCTGTAGCATAAAAGCAGCCACAGACACACAAACGGGCATGGCTGTGTTCCAGTAAAACTTTATTTTTGGATTCTGACACGGAATCACGTACAATTGTCATAGGTCACCAAATTCATTCTTTTGATTTTTTCCAGTTATGTAAAAATGTTAAAAACCAGGCAGGGTTGGCCGGGCGCGGTGGCTCAAGCCTGTAATCCCAGCACTTTGGGAGGCCGAGACGGGCGGATCACGAGGTCAGGAGATCGAGACCGTGGCACATGCCTGTAATCTCAGCTACTCAGGAGGCTGAAACAGGAGAATCACTTGAACTCAGGAGGCGGAGGTTGTGATGAGCTGAGATCACACCATCGCACTCCAGCCTGGGCAACAAGAGCAAAACTCCCTCTGGAAAAAAAAAAAAAAAATCAGGATATCTGATAAGGGAATTGCAGTGAGAATATATTAAAAACTAAAAACTTACAACTCAATAGTGAAAGGACACCTAACACAATTTAAAAATGGGTGAAGGATTAGAATAGACAGTTCTCCAAAGATCTAGAAATGGCCAATAAGCATGCTAAAAGACACCAGTTCACACCCAGTAGAATGACTATAATCAAAAAGACAGATAATAATAAGTGCTGATGTGGATATGGAGAAACTGGAACCCTTATATATTGGTGGTAGACGTGTAAAATGGTATAGCCATTTTGGAAAAGTCACAGTTTCCCAAAGGCTAAATAGTCACCTTTTGACCCAGCAATTCCACTGGTAATAGAAATAAAAACATACATCCACACAGGCCGGGCGTGGTGGCTCACGCCTGTAATCCCAGCACTTTGGGAGGTCAAAGCGGGTGGATCATGAGGTCAAGAGATCAAGACCATACTGGATGGTGAAATCCCACCTCTACTAAAAATACAAAAATTAGCCGGGCGTGGTGGTGCGCACCTGTAGTCCCAGCTAGTTGGGAGGCTGAGGCAGGAGAGTCGCTTAAACCTGGGAGGCGGAGATTGCAGTGAGCCAAGATCCCGCCACTGGCCGGGCGCCGTGGCTCACGCCTGTAATCCCAGCACTTTGGGAGGCCGAGGCAGGCGGATCACGAGGTCAGGAGATCGAGACCATCCTGGCTAAACATGGTGAAACCCCGTCTCTACTAAAAATACAAAAAACTAGCCGGGCGTCGTGGTGGGCACCTGTAATCCCAGCTGCTCGGGAGGCTGAGGTGGGAGAATGGCGTGAACCCGGGAGGCGGAGCTTGCAGTGAGCCTAGATCGCGCCACTGCACTCCAGCCTGGGGCCACAGAGCAAGACTACGTCTCAGAGGCCGGGCGCGGGTGCTCAACCCTGTAATCCCAGCACTTTGGGAGGCCGAGATGGGCGGATCACGAGGTCAGGAGATCGAACCATCCTGGCTAACACGGTGAAACCCCGTCTCTACTAAAAAATACAAAAAACTAGCCGGCGCGGTTGCGGGCGCCTGTAGTCCCAGCTACTCGGGAGGCTGAGGCAGGAAATGGCGTGAACCCCGGGAGGCGGAGCTTGCAGTGAGCTGAGATCCGGCACTGCACTCCAGCCTGGCGGGCAGAGCAGACTCCGTCTCAAAAAAAAAAAAAAAAAAAAAGACTACGTCTCAAAAAAAAAAAAAAAAAAAAGATCCCGGCCACTGCACTCCAGCTGGGTGACAGAGCAACACTCAGTCTCAAAAAGAACAAACAAACAAACATACATCCACACAAAAACTTGTATACAAATGTTGCTAGCAGTAATTATTTATAAAAGCTAAAAAGTGGAGGGCCGGGCACAGTGGCTCATGCCTGTAATCCCAGCACTTTGGAAGGCCGAGGCAGGTGGACACTGAGGTCAGGACGTTCAAGACCAGGCTGGTCAACATGATAAACCCCATCTCTACTAATATACAAAATTAACCAGGCGTGCGGTGAGCGCTATATCCCAGCTACTTGGGAGGCTGAGGCAGGACAGTCACTTGAACCGGGGAGACGGAGGTTGCAGTGAGCCGAGATCGCACCATTGCGCTCCAGTCTGGGCTACAAGAGCAAAATTTCGTTTAAAAAAAAGTGGAAACAACACAAATGCTCATCAACCGAACAGCAGATAAGAAAATAAGTATATTGGCCGGGCGTGGTGGCTCATGCCTGTAATCCCAGCACTTTGGGAGGCCCAGGCAGGTAGATCGTGACTTCAGGAGATCGAGACCATCTTGGCTAACACAGTGAAACCCCGTCTCTACTAAAAATACAAAACATTAGCCGGGCATGGCGGCGGGCGCCTGTAGTCCCAGCTACTCAGGAGGCTGAGGCAGGAGAATGGCGTGAACTCGGGAGGCGGAGCTTGCAGTGAGCTGAGATCTTGCCACTGCACTCCAGCCTGGGGGACAGAGCGCGAGATTCCGTCTCAAAAAAAAAAAAAAAAACACACATGCTAAGTGAAAGAAGGCAGGTAGTCACAATAATATTTTATGGTTTCATTTGTGTGAAATACCCCGATTAGGCAAATCCATAGATATAGCAGATTAGTGGCTGCCAAAGGCTGGGGGTGGGAAGGACTGGGAGGAAACAGGGAATGACTGCTAATGAGTACCATGGTTTCTTTTTGGGAGATGAAATGTTCTTATAGTGTTGATAGTTGCACAACTCTGTCAACGTACTAAACACCACTGAATTGTATACTTTCAATGGGTGAATTATATGTTAGGTAAATTATATCCCACTAATGCTTTTTTTTTTTTTTTTTTTTTGAGAGGGAGTTATGTTCTTTTGCCCAGGCTGGAGTGAAGTGGCATGATCTCGGCTCACTGCAACCTCTGTCCCCTGGGTTCAAGTGATTCTCCTGCCTCAGCCTCCTGAATAGCTGGGATTATATGCACCAGTCACCACGACCGGCCAATGTTTGTATTTTTAGTAGAGATGGGGTTTCACCATGTTGGCCAGGCTGGCCTTGAACTCCTGACCTCAGGTGATCCACCTGCCTCCACCTCCCAAAGTGCCAGGATTACAGGCATGAGCCACTGCGCCTGGCCAATGCTGATTTTTAAAACAGGTAGCTGGCAGGATTTGGGTTTGGTCTGTAGAATGTAATTAGCTGATCCCTGGCATGAAGAAACAAGTAAAATGAGGCCAGGCTCAATGGCTCCCACTTGCAATCTTAGCACAGCACTTTGGGAGGCCAAGGCAGGAGGATTGCTTAAGCCCAGGAGTTTGAAACCAGCCTGGGCAACACAGCGAGATCTTGTATTTTTTTTTTTTTTTTTGATACGGAGTCTCGCCCTGTCGCCCAGGCTGGAGTGCAGTGGCACGATCTCCGCTCACTGCAACCTCCGCCTCCCGGGTTCACGCCATTCTCCTGCTTCAGCCTCCCGAGTAGCTGGGACTACAGGAGCCACGCCCGGCTAATTTTTTGTATTTTTAGTAGAGACGGGGTTTCACCATGTTAGCAAGGATGGTCTCGATCTCCTGACCTCGTGATCCGCCCACCTGGGCCTCCCAAAGTACTCGGATTACAGACGTGAGCCACCGCGCCCAGCCGGAACAGTTCTAAATTAAGAGAGATGTAAAAGACAATAGCAAAAAAAACTATATCCTGATTGCAACAAACCAACAGTTACACTGGACTTGACTCTGCACCACGTAATGGATAGTAGTCTAGAATTACGGTTGTTCTTGTAAAGTGTGATAATGGTATTGTGGTCATATTAGCAATGTTTCTGGTTTTCACACGCGCACCCTGTTAAATAAAATTTATAGAAGGTCATTGGTTAGGACTGAGCTCCTGCACTAGGTTCAACGAACCAAACCAAAATGGAGTCACTCATGCTAAAGTTCCATGCTTCCAAGCCAAAACTAAGTTGATACCCGATCTTCTGAGACATTGGGAGAGAGATAATAGCCAAATCCCCAAACAGCTCAGTTTTAGCCCACCTGATAAAGGAAGTCCCCTCTACTTTAACCTTTAACTTAGAAATTTAATCAAGTTAATCAATTTAACCAACTAGCTTTTTGTTTTCAGTTTCTTACTTTCTCAGCCCTTTGCCTCTGAAAACAACCTCCTCCTCTGCTCAGCTCATCGGAACACTCACGCTATTTTCCATAATTAGATGTTGTTCAATTGTAGATCCACAAATAAATGCCAATTAAGATCTTCTCACTACTTGTGTTGTAATTTTGTCTTTTGACAATCCTTAAGTGTCGTGATGCCGAGGATTTCTTTTAATCTCTTTATGGTTAAAAAAAAACCACAGCAAGTATGGCAAAAATAATAATTGGTAGATTTGGGTGACAGAAATTCCTGTATTCTTCTCTCAGTTTTATGTAAGTTTGAACATTTTCGTAAGAAAACATTAACATCAAACTGTCTCAAGGACCCTTCAAGCCCCAAGTTCACAGAATTAGCAGCACAATCAGAATGCGAATCCACGACTGCCTGACCCCGAAGCTCCACACAGGAAAAGGTGAATCCCTGCACCAACCCCGAGAGGGAAGGGGCTATCAAAAACGTGAAGAGAAGGTGGCGATGGACGACTGCACAATCTGGTACCGCCCGCCGTCCCACCACAGTCTGAGAAACTGAGGCCAGGAAAGGAGTTCTCTTTCCTCAACTCCCACTGCTTAGACCGCCAGCAATCCCAGTCCACTCCTTCCCTTGGGACCACCAGCAAATCGCCATCATCTACAGCGGAACTGTAACTCTCAGGAGAGCTGGCCGATGCTGGCTACCACTTCGCTGAGTTTATTGTGAGAGAGAGTGAGAGTGAGTGAGTGAGAGTGAGAGACACAGAAGGAGAGAGAACTGCCCGATGGACGGTTGGCCACCTCCAGGAGAGTGTAGTTCAGCTTCAAACTTGGGGCGCCCGGACAGCTCTATTAATAATGATTGACAAGGAATCGGGAATCCAAAATCTTGCCCCAGTCTCCCTCAGGACCCCAGATCTCTAGCCCGCAGGAAAGTGATCCCAGCAACACCCTACCTGCACCGCCTCGAACTTACCTCCCGAACGACTCCCGGTCCCTCGGTCGCTTCTTCAACTGTGCCCCGACACCGGAAAGGAGCACTGTTTTCCCCCTCCGCTCCGCCCACTTCCGCCCAGCAGAAGGCATCGGAAGTAGAGCTGCCCCTAGTTGCGGAAGTGTCTCGCCTGGCTTGCTCAAGTCCTCTCTTCTCTTTCTCCCTTCGGAAACGTGAGTGGCAAATAGAAGGTTCCGGATATTGAACCTGGTGGGAATATGGGGAACGCTTACTATGTACTAGGCATTTCCCAGGGAGATCGTTTTTTCCTGCTTGATTCCCAGGCTTTGAGTCCCTCCAAGCCCAAATTTAAGGACTAATCACTTCCCCTAGAGATCGGGAAGCCCACTTCCCCAAATATATCATCCACTCTTCTTGCTGCATCTTAAAACTCAATTGAGAAGAGACAGCTGCGCTCCCATTTTACAGACAGAGCCATTGGGAAATTGAAAGTCAAAGCCGTTCAAGTCGCCCTCAGGAAACAGGGATTTACTGCGGCACTGCCCAGCTGTCCCAGGGACTAAGGCATATCGTCCCCGCTAGTTTCTAGGTATCTAGGGACCCAGACATTAATTTTTCTAGCTGGGCCAGGCGAACTTCCAGGGGAGAGCCAGAGCGGGTAGGGGGCGAGAGGGAGGAGGAGGGTCGAATCCAATCCCCCAAGTGCCCCATGGTATTCGACACCTTGGCTTCCCCATGGATCTCCGGAGTTTAAGTCCTTTATCCCAAGGTCCCTTTAAATACTTTGTCCCTTACCTGAGTCCCGCCCAGGGCAGGTAATGGCAAGTTCCTTCCCCCTGCCAGAAACCGGGATCAGGCTTGGTTACCGGGAGTGGGGCACCCCTCCTCCTTATCCCCTCCCCTCTTCCCTGTCCCCCTTCACAGCTGGCTAAGGAGGTCTCCATTAAAGAGGAAGGGGCAGTGCTCACATTTCTGGGCAGGTAAGTGAATGTCCCTGGAGGAAGAGCCTGGCTTGGGGACCCAGGCATCCTGGCTCCCCGCCCCTCCGAGACCCAGAAGTTTGGGGCTCCTAGGCCCAGGAGTCCAAGGCCCCTGCCCCCTAGGTCCCTAGACCCGATAATACAACTAATCACCTGCCTCTGCCTCTCTCGTAATCTTTGTTGTCTGTGGGTGGATGTGACAATGAGCACAGAGAGAGGCACAAGTGGAAATTACCAGGAAGGGAAGACTCCGGATCACCAGTGGACATGTTTATGAGCATCTGTGTCAGGTGCTGTAGACACAATGGGGAAAAAAGATAAGCTGCCTGCTCTCTGCTCTCTTCTCTGGCGGACACTGCCTTCACTGAAATCCTGGCTCTCACACTTGCACACTGTGTGACCTTTGGCAAGCTATTTTACCTCTCTGTGCCTCAGTTTCCTGTTCTCTATATTGGGGACAATAATAGGACTCCTGGTCGGGCGCAGTGGCTCACACCTGTAATCCCAGCACTTTGGGAGGCTGAAGCAGGTGGATCACTTGAGGTCAGGAGTTTGAGACCAGACTGGCCAACATGGTGAAACCCTGTCTGTACTAAAAATGTAAAAATTAGCCGGGCATGGGCCGGGCGCGGTGGCTCACGCCTATAATCCCAGCACTTTGGGAGCCTGAGGCAGGCAGATCATGAGGTCAGGAGATCGAGACCATCCTGGCTAACACGGTGAAACCCCATCTCTGCTAAAAATACAAAAAATCAGCCGGGCATGGTGGCGGGTGCCTGTAGTCCCAGCTACTCGGGAGGCTGAGGCAGGAGAATGGCGCGGGAATCCCCTGGTGCAGCGGGGCTTGCATGTGAGGACCGAGATGGTGCCATGCTCACTTCAGGCCTGGGGGCGACAGAGTGAAGACTCCGCCTCAAAAAAAAAAAAAAAAAAAAACAAAAAAAAAGGACTCCTGTCAAAGTTTTGTTTTGTTTTGTTTTGACATGCGAATATCTTCACTCAGTCACCCGAGGCTGGAGTTGCAGTGGCACGATTCTGCTCACTTGCACTCCTGCCTCCCAGGTCAGAGCGATTCTTCCTGCCTCCAGCCCTCCAAGTAGTGGGATTACAGGCGCCCAGGCACCGCACCCAGCTAATTTTTGTAATGACTCCTGCGTGAAAAGTTCAAAGAGTTGAGGCGGAGCATAGTGGCTCATGCCTGTAACCCAGAACACTTGGTGAGGCTGAGCGTTGGGCGGCATCACTTGAGGTCACGCGACGTTCAACGACTCTGGCTCGGCTAACATGCGTGAAACCTCATCTCAATACGAAAAATATAAAACACTTTGGGAGCTGAGGCGGGGAGGACACGGAGGTCAGGAGATGAGACATCCTGGAGAACACGGTGAAACCCGTCTCTACTAAAATACAAAAATTAGCCGGGTGTGGTGGCCCAGGTGGCCTGTAGAACCAGGTACTCGGAGGTGACAGCACTGGCATGAACGGGAGGGCGGAGCTTGCAGTGAGCCGAGATCGTGCCACTGCACTCCAGCCTGGGCGACAGCGCGAGACTCCATCTCAAAAAAAAAAACAACAAAAAAAAAACCAATATCTGGCAGAGAATACAGGCTGTGTAAGTGTCTGCTATTATTATCATTCGTGGACCACAGAGGTCAGTCGGTAGAGCACTGCCTTATTACCCAGGGACTGAGGCCCTTGTCAGCTGTAACACACCTGGTTCTAGGTGTCTGGAAAATATGAGGGGCCACCCCTCTCTGCTGCTGCTATACATGGCATTAACCACCTGCCTGGACACTTCACCCAGTGGGGAGACAGACCAAGGTGAGTGTTTGGGGGAAATGGTGTCCAGATACTTGGCATTGGCCTCCCCCTGGCTCAGGAATGTCTCTAGTCCCTCCTCTTCCAGGACCCAGCCCCTTCCTCCTTCAGACCCAAGAGTCTGAATTCCCAGCTCCTGCTCCTTCCTCCGGGACCCCACTGCTTTCCATCCCCCTATGACTTCAGCCCTAGGGACCCTCTATTTTTCTGTCCCTCATGTCTTTGGGTCCAGAAGTGTTCCTGGCTCCGCCAGAGGCCCAGAGCTTCCTGAGTAGCCATACCCGGATTCCAAGAGCCAACCACTGGGACCTGGAGCTGTTCACACCAGGGAACCTGGAACGGGAGTGTCATGAAGAGAGGTGTTCCTGGGAAGAGGCCAGGGAGTATTTTGAGGACAACACTCTCACGGTGAGGTCCTCAAGACCCTGGAGTTTCGGGCCCTCTCTCTTCTCTATACCTGTGGGGAGGTTGCAGGGGGAGGGCCTCTGTCTTCTCTATACCTGTGGGGAGGCTGCAGGGGGAGGTTCTGGCCTTCAGCTCCCTCCTCCCTGGTGTCTCAGAAGTCAGGATGGGCTAGTTTGGGGGTGTGAACCTACCAGCTGAATTGCTGCTTTTCCCCCTTCTCTACTCCTCCCCCCTCAAGGAGCGCTTTTGGGAGAACTACATCTACAATGGCAAAGGAGGTGAGTGAGGGGCTGAAGCCGTCTTGTTCTGTGCAGCTAAGGGATCCCTTCCCAGGGAGGCCAAACCAACGTCCTCCACCCCAAATTAGGTACAAGAATCGTCTGCCCCCCAATTCTGTGTTCTCTGAAGCTGGCTGCTAAAGGAGTTCCCCCGCTTAAGACCCCGGCTTGCCTGAGGAGCCCCCCACACCTTATGATTATTTTATTTTTAATTATTTGTTTTTGAGACAGGGTCTCACTGTGTCACCCAGGCTGGAGGGCTGTGGTACAATCTTGGCCCACTGCAACCTCAACCTCCCAGGCTCAAGTGATCTTCCCACCTCAGCCTCCTGAGTAATTGGGACTCCTGGCCCATACTACCATGATAATTTTTGTAGTTTTTGTACAGACCGGGTCTCACCATGTTGCCCAGGCTGGTCTTGAATGCCTGGCCTCAAGCAATCCTCCTGATTCAGTGTCCCAGACTGTTGAGACTATAGGTGCCAGGCCCCACCACGTCTTATTGGATGCAGGTCCTGGGTCCCTAGGAAGGGAAGTGTCAGTGAAGGGAAAGGCTAGAGCTGTAGGGCCTGTCACGCCTTAAGCTGAGAGGGGAAGGCCCACCTGAACCCTTCGCTGGTGTCCAGAGTAAATGGAAACACCAACCCCTCCAGCAGCCTGATTATGGGGGACGCTGCCCTCTAGCAACGTGACCAAGGGAGGAAGCCTGCCCAACCTCACCTGCCCATTTTGCCCCCAACAACCCCTCCTCTGAGTTCTGAGGCCCCATCTTGTTGCCAGCCTTGTTGCTAAGGGGGGCTGCTCCTTAGCAACAGGGCCTGGCCAGGCCAGACCAGATGAAGAAGCCTGAAGCAGTACCTGGCTGATTTCCCCTCCCCCACAGCCCCATCCCAGCAGCTGCCTGGTTGCTAAGGAGGCCTTCTCCCTAGCAACCACACCTAGCCAGGCTCCAGGACCCAAGGCCTTCTGCCCACTGGAGGACCACCCTCCGGGCCCCCGATGCCCCACCCACTTGTGGCCCGGTTGCTAGGGGTAGATGCACCTTAGCAACAGGCCCTAGGTCTGGGCTGGAGTCTCACACTGGAGCCTGGTTGCTAGGGGAGGTAATTTCCCTACAGGCCTAGCGAGGCATAGTGGCTCCTTGAATCCACCTGAAGGTGCCCACATCAGGAGGACCTGCCTTCTGAAGCTGCACTTGCGCTTTTTGCTAAAGGGGCTCAAAAGTCGGGGGGTTTACTGTGGTCAGATGTGGTGGCTCATGCCTGTAATCTCAGCACTTTGGGAGGCCAAGGCCAGCAGATCACCTGAAGTCAGCAGTTCAAGATCAGCCTGGCCAGCGTGGTGAAACCCCATCTCTACTAAAAATACAAAAATTAGCCGGGCGTGGTGATGTGTGCCTGTATTCCCAGCTACTCAAGAGGCTGAGGCACAAGAATCACTGCAGCTGGGAGGCAGAGGTTGCAGTGAGCAGAGATCGCACCATTGCACTCCAGCCTGGGAGATGTCTCAAAAACAAACATACAGCAGGGTGCGGTGGCTCACGCCTGTAATCCAAGCACTTTGGGAGGCCGAGGCGAGCGGATCACCTGAGGTCAGGAGTTCGAGACCAGCCTGGTCAACATGGTGAACCCTGGTCTCTA